AGATCTCTGTTTGATGTATTATAGTGGTGTAAAAATACAGTTTGATAGACATGCGCATTACAATTTAGAGACTTCATTGCGGAAATCTGATTAACCTGTTAGCTTTGAGAGTATCACTAAGGAAGAACTAAGGGGAATATTTACAGGTGGTTATATTTATAAAAATAGTTGTGTTCTGTAAAGTGATCTAACATACTAAAAGTTGGGCAATCACCATGGAAACCAGTGGAACCAGCATGTACATTGCACTGGTGACTCTTCCAATTTTCCATGACATTTTAAACATTACCTTCATAGTGTTAGAAATAGAAAAGTGGGACAACATTTTAAGTGAAGTAATCACCAGGCAGGAGTGAGTGGTGTTATAACTAGGAAGGCATCATTGTTTTTTGGTTTTTTACTCCCCAGGTGACTCCAAAGTTTTCAGAATATTGCCCCACTCACTATTGCATGAACAACTGTTTTCTAACCAGTGCACAGTGATAAATCTCCCTGTAGAACATTGGTACGGACAGTGGCGTACTAAAGGCCTGCTCACTATACACTCATTAAACACACACACACACACACACAGCATACACACTATACACACACTACACACACACACAATGCATACACACTATACACACACTTCACACATGCTATACACACACACAGCATACACACTACACACACACACACACACACACAATGCATACACACTATATACATACACTGCATACACACACACACTGCATGCACACTATACACACACACACACAGGGCCGGATTAACATAGGGGCTGATGGAGCTGCAGCTCCAGGCCCAGGCCCATGGAATAGGCCCATCTAAAAAAAAAAAAAAAAATTTTTATTTTTTTTATTTTTTTTTACACACTACTCTTAGGTTTCCCACCTGACTGGTATTTTACTGGCACAGACGGTATTTGAGGCTGCCTGGCCGTGCCGGTACTGCAGTAATACCAGCAATACAATTGCAGGTATTTTTCTCAGAATAAATGGAGATTACTCTGCAATACCAGCACCAGTCAATAGGGGTCACTGTGTGGAGAGAGGCAGGGATAGGAAGTTACAGCATATCCCTCCCTGCCTATCTATACTCACTGATCTGCGGGGGAGCAGCAACACAGCACAGAGTCCAGACAGCAACCCTACAGCTCAGGTAAGTGAGGGATGGGGACACTGGGGGACACATGGGGACACTGAGACACTAGGGGACACATGTGGACACTGAGACACTAGGGGACACTGAGACACTAGGGGACATATGGGGACACTGAGACACTAGGGGACACAGACTCTAGGGGACACATGGGGACACAGACACTAGGGGACACTGAGACACTAGGATACATGGGGACACAGACACTGGGAGACCTGGAAACACTGAGACACTTGGGGACACTTGAAAACATGGGGACACTGAGACACTAGGGGACACTGGGACACATGGGAATATTGAGAGACACTGAGACATTGGGACATGGAGACACTATGTCCCCATTTCTCCCAGTGTCCCCATGTCCCCCATCCAGTGTCACTAGTGTCTCAGTGTCCCTAAGTCTCACAGTGTCTGTGTCCTGTGTCTCTCAGTGTGCCTAGCGTCCCCATGTGTCCCAGTGTCCCTATATGTCCCAGTGTCCTCATGTCTATGTCCACAACTGTCCCCAAGTCTCCCAGTGTCCCCATGTCTCTGTGTCCCTAGTGTCTTAGTGTCCCCAAATGTTTCAGTGTCCCTATGTCTCCCAGTCTCTGTGTTCCTAGTGTATCAGTGTGCCTAGTGTCCCCATGTCTCCCAGTGTCCCTATATGTCCTAGTGTCCCCATGTCTATGCCCACAACTGGCCCCTGGTCTCCCAGTGTCCCCAAGTGTCTGTCTTCCAGCCAGTGTCCCCATGTCTCCCAGTGTCCCATAGTCTCCCAGTGTCTGTGTTGTCTTAGTGTCCCCAAATGTTTCAGTGTCCCCATGTCTCCCAGTGTCTGTGTCCCTAGTGTCTGTGTCCCCATTTCTCCCAGTTTCCCTAAATGTCTCAGTGTCCCCATGTCCCCATGTCTCCGTGTCCCCGGGTCTCTGTGTCTCCATGTCTCACTGTGTCCCCAGTATCCTAGTGACATGGGGACACACTGAGACATTGGGACACTGGGAGAAATGGGGACACTGAGACACTGGGAGACTAGGGGACTGGGTGACATGGGGACACTGACACTGTGATACATAGGGATACTGAGACACTGGGTGACTTGCGAGACTGAGACACTGGGACACTGGGAGAAATGGGTACACTGAGACACTGGGAGACTAGGGGACTGGGCGACATGTGGACACTGACACTGTGATACATAGGGACACTGAGACACTGGGTGACTTGCGAGACTGAGAAACTGGGAGCAATCCATCTATACAGCAGAATCAAACTGTGAGTAGTTTGTTGGTGATTTTACAGAATTTTCTCTGATGTCACTCCTTGTGATTATACAAATTATTAAGGCTGGTATTTTTTTCCAAGAAAGGTGGCAACCCTAACTACTCTTCACATACTCTTGCTTAAAGGAGCACTATAGGGTCAGGAACACAATCATGTATTTCTGACCCGATTATGTAAAAACCAACATCCTGCCCCCTTCTTGCCTCCCTAAGTATAGTAAAATATAACTTGTATTCAAGTCTGCAGCTGCTGGCTCTGCCTCTGAATTCACTGTCTGCTGACATCATCAGAAGTGGTGGTCTGAGCAAATTACAATACTTCCCCATAGGATTGGCTGAGACTGTCAACTAGGCAGATCAGGGGCAGAGCCAGCACAAGTCTAACATAGCCCTGGCCAATCAGCATCTCCTCATAAAGATAAATTGAATCAATGTATCTCTATGAGGAAAGTTCAGTGTCTGCATGCAGAGGATGGAGACACTGAATGGCAGTGCTGCACACTAGGCAGTACTGCCCCAGGAAGCACCTCTAGCAGCCATCTAAGGAGTGGCCAGTGGAGTTATTTTCTCTGAAAAGACAGTGTTTACTGCAAAAGGCCTGAATGGAATGATTCTACTTACCAGAACAAATACAATAAGCTGTAGTTCTTCTGGTGACTATAGTGTCCCTTTAAGTTTGGAAGCTTAAGAGGGATGTATGGGAACAAAACTTGTGTGGACTAGCTGACAATAAAATTAGTTTAGGTAATGCAGGCGCTGGTCTCTCTAACACTGTGGCATGTCCCCTTTCTTCTACACTCACTACATACACTACACTCACTACAAACACTACACTCACTACATACACCTTTACTCTGTCTCAGACTATATACCAGGAACTTCTGCCTGCTAGTAAGAAGGTAAGGAGACAAGTGGACCAGCGTGTGCTAGGGGACAGTCCTTAGAAAGCACGGAGTGAGCGCATCATTAGATGCATTTATGTCAAGCTCATGGTGCTGCGTGCATAGTATGCCCTTAGTTGGACAGCCTGCAGGATTGGCGGGCAGCCTGTCATGCATTCATGCCAGGCTGTCCTTCAAATTCTTTGGACAGACATGCCCCCTTTTTGGGCATGTTCACCCCTTTTGGCAGGTCTGGTCACGTGATTTGCACCAGTGGCACACCCTTTGACCTCGCCCATTGACTTCCTATTTCACTGGACACTGCTGTTAGGGGTTATGGATTTACTTGAAAGATGAAAACATAAATTAGAGAGAGATTAGCATAGAGTATGTGTTTTCATATAGCTGCATCCTTTGATTTTCCTTCTAACACCATCTCCATCAGATACATGACGCTTGGTAGGTATGACTGTTTTAGTGTTTTTGGTTGAAAAGATTCCGTAATTAGGCCCATCATATTTGTCAGCACCAGGCCCACTGTGCTCTTAATCCGGCCCTGCACACACACACACTGCATACACACTATACACATACACGGCATACACTACACACACACTGCATACACTATGCAGACACACACAATTGCATACAGTACACAACCACACATAAACTACACAAACACACACTGCATACAATAAACATACACACACACTTATACCTGTGTGTTTGTCTATATATATGTCTGTGTGTCTGTGTTTGTATCTGTGTGTCAGTGGGTACATGTATGTGTGTCAGTGTGTGTGTGTGTGTGTGTGTGTGTGTGTCTGTAAGTGTGTGTGTTATATCTATATGTGTGTTTGTATCTGTCTGTCTCTGTATGTGTGTAAGTGTTTGTCTGTATCTGTGCATGACTGTGTTTCTATGTATCTGCATGTATATACCTATGTGTCTGTGTATCTGTATGTGCCAGTGTGTGCATCTGTGTGTCTATGTATCTCCATGTGTGCCAGTGTGTGTATATTTGAGTATATGTGTATATGTGCAGACATTTCAGCATTTCGCCAACACTACACACAAATACACCCCTGCATCTAAATATCAACACTACATAAAAACACACCACATATTAAAAAACACACTACACAAAAATGCACACCTGCATTCAAGTGCCAACACTACAGACAAACACACCCCTCACATTCACTCACACATACCTCATACAAAAACATGCTTGCATTCAAACACACAAACACTGCTAAGTGCTAAATACATTTTTTTTTAAATAAATGCAAACATTTTTTTTAAAATGTGTGGGTGTTTTTACATTTTAAAATTGGGGCTGTGGGGGTGCCAAATATAAGATCTGCCCCGGGTGCCAAATGCTCCAGGTACGCTCCTGGGTACAGATGTAGAATAGAGCAGATGGGAACACTGATCCCCCAGACAAATTGCATATGGAACCAATAAGGAGCATATTCTCCCCAGTCATGATTGCAAATATATTTAACATTCACAGTAAATATAGAAAAGGATTGTTCTGGAGCTGGAGATATGGACTCTTTACCCTAGACACCCAGCATACATTTAAAATAACTGGGTATATGTGTTTATACCATATGTTTTACTGTATAAGCTGCATTAAAATAAAAGCCTTTGAGGTTCAACTATTTGTTAATGGAAATATAGTTGTTATGGTTCCAGGAGGTCCCTGATGCAGGCTTACTTTAGGGGTTAAACCATTCAAGAATCGTTTAACCTCTAAATGTGAGCCTGCATCAGGGATCTCCTGAAACCATGACAACTTAATTTTGATTAAGCTGTTATGGTGCACAAACTCATCTGTTAAATGCATATGAGAATGCATGTTTAATAATGAGAATCCATATTTAATAAATATTTATTTATAAAATATTTACCAGGATGGATACATTGAGATTTCTCTCGTTTTCAAGCATGTCCTGGGTCTTTGTGCACAAAACATTGCATTGTTACAATAGGATACAATATTACAAAAATACAATATACAAACTATATATATATACACACACATAAATTTAATACATAAAAGGTAATAAATATATTCAACCATGACAGGTGCATTCTGTGCTGAGGTATATTGCCATAGAAAAAAGAAAATTCCAGCGAGAAAAATCTCTCTGGAATAATGAGTAGGAAGTCCCTTTAACCATCAGATTGAATAGTTTAAAATGTAACTTTTATTGGTAAGTTTAAAATGTGTAAGTAGGAATGAAAAAATAAAAGTAAAAAATAGAACATATAGACAGGCAGATTGATAAGTATGTCCACTAGTTGTGAAGAGAAAACATTTCTCAGTCTATTGATATAGAACAAAATAGTGTCCACCAATGAATCATAGAGTCCCCACTCTGGGAAATTGAGAGAGATATATAGAGTGAGCAAGCTAGCAATATTGTGAATCACTCACACTGTATCAATTGTGAGTTGTCCTTAGTTATAAATAAATGCAAGAAATATTAACAATGCTTGAATGGTGAACATGGGCTGTTGAATTGAGAGAAAGAGCCCTAAGGTAGTTCCAGGCGTTTTTAGACAGGCAGTTAGAGTCTTCAGGTTGCTCTCTCCATATTGGATCGGACTAGTTCTCTACAAGTGCTATAGTTGTTTCCAGTGGGGGGTGTTATCTAGATTTGGGAGTTGATTCCAAGTTGAAATTGAAGGGCATCTAGCTGTAATTATACCCCTTTTTCATGCTTAACTATATTGGGCTCGTTCTGATTAAGATAGCCCACCCATATTTAGCAAGCATTACTTTTTATAATCAGGACAACAGTTTATCTAGGCACCTGTTATATATTTGTTTTTTACTTATTGATTGTAGGGGATCTCTCTCTCTTCCTTAGTTCTATATATACCTGTTTGCTGTACCCATATGGGCTCTTTCTCTTAATTCAACAGCCCATGTTCACCATTCAAGCATTGTTAATATTTCTTGCATTTATTTATAACTAAGGACAACTCACAATTGATACAGTGTGAGTGATTCACAATATTGCTAGCTTGCTCACTCTATATATCTCTCTCAATTTCCCAGAGTGGGGACTCTATGATTCATTGGTGGACACTATTTTGTTCTATATCAATAGACTGAGAAATTTTTTCTCTTCACAACTAGTGGACATACTTATCAATCTGCCTGTCTATATGTTCTATTTTTTACTTTTATTTTTTCATTCCTACTTACACATTTTAAACTTACCAATAAAAGTTACATTTTATACTATTCAATCTGATGGTTAAAGGGACTTCCTACTCATTATTCCAGAGAGATTTTTCTCGCTGGAATTTTCTTTTTTCTTTACTTAAGCAAGGGTTATCCCCTATGAGGTTGTCCCTGACACAATAACACAGTAGTCTCCCTATAGGGATACTTTTGTTTCTCTTTTATATTGCCATAGATCTCTTAAAAGATTTTAGATTGAATGAAGATTTGACTGTGTCCCTGAAGTTATTCCATAATTGCAGTGCTCTGTAGGAAAATGAGGATCGAGTCACTTTATTTTTGTATTGCGGTATGCTAAATATCTTTCTAGTACTGGATCGGAGGTTATAGGAGGTGGGAACAGCTCGGGAGAGCATTCTACTCAGGTAGGGTGGGAGCTTCCCAGAAATGCTCTTAGACACAAGGCTGGAAAGATGAAGAGTGCGTCGGGATTCCAGCGACAACCAGTTTAGCTCTTTTAACATGTTACAGCGGTGGGTAAAGTAATTACATTCTAGTACAAAGCGGCAGAAGAAATTATATAACGTATTAAGGTTATTCATGTGGGTTTGCGGTGTGGGTGCATACACTACATCCCCATAATCAATGACCGGCATTAGCATTTGTTGCACTGTCTGTTTCCTTACTGTAGGGCTTAGGCAGGATTTGTTTCTGTACAGGGCACCTAGATTTGGGTAAAGTTTTGAAGAGATTTTTTCAGTGTGAAGGAAAAGGATAGATTGGGGTCTAGCAGCATATCTAGATATTTAGAAGAACAGACTGCTGTCAGCGTGCTATTTGAATTTGCTCTGAAGCACAATTGTTGATTTTGTAGTTTACGTAATTTAGGTACAGTTGTAATATCATTGTATCATTGTAACAGTTTTGTCAGTGTTTAGGAAGAGTTTGTTATCCGCTATCCTCTTTTCTACCTCTGTGAATTGGTTTTGGGGCACAGCCTCAAGCTGCGGTAGCTTGGGTTTACTAGTGTAGATTACAGTGTCATCTGAATACATGTGTACAGTTGAGGATTTGTATTAAATCAATTATCATTAACATTTTATAATTATACAACCCAGAATAGTTCACTCTATATTAGGTATATTGAAACAGTTGCATTTACAGCTGTCTAATACAAAGTCCATAACAGTAAAACCAAAACCAGGCTGAAAATTCAACGATAATGAAATTCCAGTTAATCAAAAGAACATGAACATTTGTGTTTTCAAGTCCTTTCGATAAAACCACCCCTGGTGATACTACTACAGTGACATAACTAGAAGCTCACATTTTTACATACAGGTCCAGCTCAACATCTTCAGACATTGCTACAGTCAGTGTACACACCGCTGGCACCTCCCTTGTCTTTCTATTCAGAAAATC